ACTGTTAAACCCATGACATTCTTAAAACCTTTTTACTTAAATCTGGTCTCATAACAGATAAATGATATTTGCTTCTATAATATGAGAATAGCCAATAGCTTGCAGACTCTGCCATGAAAATCAAACCCAGCTCATAAAAGTCACAAAGCATTCAATATTTTAGTATTTCTGAATTCCAGGTATCACTTATTGAGTGAATGTGATGTTGAGGTTTAATAAGATAATGGTAAACAAGGAGATTTTATTCCCTGTAGAATTTTTTCAGTTAATTCTGTGACATCTGGATTTAGACAACTGCACAATTTCTTGAATTCAAAATACCTTAACTCGGAGAAAGGAAAATTATTTCTGAACAATTACAAGTTTATTTAAACAAGTTTATTTGAACTCGTCATGAGACGTGGTCTGTGGAAGCGGCCCGTGTAATGTGTTTCACTCACCTGGAAGCCCCAAAAATGCAGGGACTGGTCCTTGTGTTTGTATCCTCAGTGCCCCCATCACACAAAATCTGCTCTGTCCTTGAAGTCTGTAGACCTTTGATGGAGATCTTTTCTGTGTTTCATTCACTTATTGAACATATTAGCAGAATTGCAGGTATGTTTTTCTCCATACTCTGAAAATAGCACATTAGGCCGAATATGTAGAAAGTTCTGTTGTGTGGTTTCCTGGAGCTGTTGTGGTTAGAGGAACTGATTAGAGAGAGCAACTTCGGTAAGTAGGATCTTCTGGCTCCATTAGTCCAGTGTGATATTACAGACAAGAAGAAAGGGAGAGGGGAAAACATAGTGTACAGTCAAGCAGAAATGTGTTCATTGCTGAATTCACTTGAGTAAAGTAATTCTTTACTGAGGTGATCTGGGGACTTTATTTCATCTTGCTTGCATTTTGTTGTCAGATATGACATCTATATCTTTTGCTGCAGGAAGTCATATCAGCTGTTGATCTAGCTAATGAATCACAAGTCTCAACTGTGTGCTGACAACACGGGCCAGCCTGCAGACACACACCCCAGTCCTGGCTCCACCTTCCCTGTGGATCCCAGTAATGGTCACTTCTCAGCATTCGGTTGGTGTTACTGTGACCCCATCTGTCATCATCTGTATTACTCCTGTGGCCTCCTAACCAGCTTCCCTGTTTCTGTCCCATCAGACTGTTCTCAACACAGCTATTAGAACATGATTCAAATCATACCAGTTCTCTATACAAAACCCTCAGATCTCCTATCCCATTTTCAGTAGAAGTTCCAAGTTCTAAAATGGTCCTCACTATCTCCCAACATCTCCCGCTATGATCTCCTGGCTTCTGCCTCTCTAGCTACACGGTTCTTGTCACCCTCCCTCTAGCTTGGGAATTTGTGCAGGAGCAGTGTCAGCGTGTAGTAGGCACCTGTGTGTAC